GTAACGAATATTTCTTAAAACCATTTTGCACCAATGTATCTGTCTTAAAACTGTCTTTCTTGGAATGTATTCTTTCCACATCCTGGCTGGACAACAGAGAAAACATTCCCCTAGTTATTTAGGACTTCTGGCAGTTAGCATAGCCAAACAACAGGAGCTTGTCAGGGAAATAAATATGGCTTCTCAGGCAGGCAGTGGATACAAAAAAAAAAAGTTTTTTTGTAAAGCTTGAAAAACTAAACTCACAACCATCCAGTTAATTCCAACTCATATTGACCCTGTAGGACAGTGATTTTCTAAGACTGTAACTCTTTATAGGAGTAGGATGTTTCCTCTTTCTCTCTCGGTGCAGCTGATGAGTTAGAACCGTTGACATTGTGGTTAGCAGCCCAACACATAACCTCTATACCACTAATTCAGCAAGACCTGATTTGTATTTAATCATTTCATTTTGGTCAAAAAGATACCTTATAAATGTCTTCTTTACAATTCCCTCCTCTCGATCAGGGATTTTATTGGAAATCCTCTGCTCCATTTAAGAAACAGTTCTTCTTTGCCTGGACTTAATTTGAGTCATCATTGATTATGCTGCCCAAACTAGCAGACCTGCTGGTGATTTCGAACTGCTGACCTTGCAGCTAGTAGCCGACTTGTAACCACTGTGCCACCAGGGGTCCTTAAAACAAGGGTTATTTGCATATAAATAATAACCTACCGAAACCCAACTGACATTGAGTCAATTCCAACTCCCGGGGTTTCTTTATGGGAGAAGACAGCCTCAACTTTCTCCTGCGGAGTAGCCTGTGGATTTGAACCACCCACCTGGCCATAAGCAGTCCAATGCTTATCTGATAGTGCCACCAGGCTTTCTTACCCTTGATAATATAGAAATAATTATACCAAGAAGATCGCATTGCCTCGGTATTATGGGCCTCATAGGCTTAAAGACCTAAGAAAAGTAATATTTTTAATTCGGTTCTCACTGATTTGAAATGCGTCATCATTTAGCTGAAAAGCATCTAAGTTTAAATTTGTCTTCTGTTTTTTAAAAGTCTGAGCAAATGATTAGATTAGTTGTGATTACAGAGGAAATATTTATAAAGAGTAGAGGTTAATTCAAAATCCATACATCTTACTAAATTAATCTCTGACTTGCCTTAGTAATAAGGGGTTGATGCGATATAGGAGTTGAAGCAGTTATAAAGGACGCATTAAAAATTCAAAGCAAAACGATTTCAGATGGATTCTAATCTCACACAGATTAGGAGGAATCCACTTTTTAACGGGAGTAGTCATATAAAAGGAGATTATTTGGGGCTGAGCGTGGAGTTAGGACACTCAGACCACTACATGTTGTATTGGTCTTATGCATTCTCCTATTAATGGGCATCTGGCCAGTCCCAAAGAGCACAGAGGGCACTGGAGGCTAAGCAGTGGGCTCCTCACCGCCAGCGAGTGGCTCAAGCCCACCAGCTGCTCCCTGGGCTAAAGATGGACTTGTCTACTGTGAGTTGCCTTGTGTCCGTGCCAACTCATAGCAGCCCCGTGCACAGTAGAATGAAACACCGCCCGGCCCTGGGCCATCCTCACAATGGTTCTGATGCCTGAGCCCATCGAGGCAGCCAGGGTGTCCATCCGTCTTGTCGAGGCTCTTCCTCTTTTCCGCCGCCCCTCCACTTGACCAAGCACGATGTCCTTCTCCGGGGACTGGTCCCTCCTGACAACGCACGGACAGTGCAGAGGGCGCCGTCTCGCCGTGGTCTCGCCGTGCTTGCCTGCGAGGAGCATTCTGACTGCACTTCTTCCAAGGCTGATCTGTTGGTTCTTTCGGCGGTCCCTGGGCCCTTCGAGGTTCTTTGCCTGCACGCCCATGAAGCTGCCCCAGTGCTCCTGCTGTCCTCCTTATTCAAGGCTGTCTGCTCCCGTGGACGTGAACAGCCTCAGAAAGCCCCATGAGCTGTTCTGCTCTGTCATGCAGGGGTGTTGGGAGCTGCAGCCTACTGAACAGCCATGGGTTGGGTTTGAGCTGTCCCCATCCGTCTCTACTATTGTCAACAGCCACCAAGTGGGAGCCTCAGTGACTCACAGCCACCCATCCACATCAGAAAGAACCACACCAGTCTCTCACCAGCCCAAGATGTTCAGAGTGTGGTGACCCACAGGTCTTCATGGACTGATTTCCTTCCTGACCCAGAAGCTAGAAGCTCTGCTGAGCCCTTGTGTTAGTCTGGGTCGACTAGAGAAACAAATCCAGAGACACTCATATAGATGTGTATAGGAAAGAGCTTTATATCAAAGAGTAATTGTAGATTAAGAAAACATCCCAGCCCGGTCCAGATCGAGTCCATAAGTCCGATATTAGCCCACATGTCCAGACTAGAATTTACTAGTCCGTAAATTCCTCTTCAGACTCACGCAACACATGCAATGATGCCGAGTACAGGAAGATCACAGGCCAGTGGGTGGAAAGTCTTGTGGATCCAGTGGTGATGGAAGCATCTCAGCGCTGGCATGGGTCTCCACGTGGTTCCTTCAGCTCCAAACGCTCTGGCTGCCACCAGCATAGCTCCATGTGACTTGTCAACAGGAATATGTAGCAGGGAGGTCAGGCTTCCAGTGAGCTATTTATCTCCTTAGCACCTCCAAATGAGATCATCAGGCTGCGACCTGACTGACAGGCTAGACTCCGCCCCTTTGCAAGTTGACAAGAGATGATGTAACTGCCTCAGCCCTGTTCATGCAAGCGCAGGTGCAGGCCTGGAACATTCGGGGATGAAGCACCAAGTGCAGTGCAAGCAGAGGGAGGACCATCCATAGAAAGCCCCCTGTTGCT